AATTCACTATGCATTCCAGGCTGGTCCAACTCGGAGTAATCCTCTTGCCTCAGCCTCCTGATTGCTAGAATTACAGGCATACACCACCACACTGGCATATGACTAAATGGTTTCACAGTACAAAATGCTATATGAACAGACAGCATGTCTTGGTTTTTACTTTGGGTCGAAGGATGCTTTTTGAAGAAGTTATGTTCTTGCTTTGTGCTAAAGGATGAAAAACAGTGGCAGTATATTTAGTCTTAATGTACTTGTGTGGGGATCTTCTCTGTTCTTGAGAAAGAATTGTAGAAAAAGTAGAACTGACTGTGAACAGTTTGAATGCCCTTAGTTGAGGGGAGGACAGCCAGTAGTTTGGAGATAAGTACTGATTATCTGTACTGATTGTCTTTCTGAGGCATCACGGAATTCAGTGTATGTTCTATGACAATATGAAATTGTCTCAGTCCATTTTGTTTTGCTATAACTTAGTACTTGTGACTGCATAATGTATAAAATTTATTTCCTGTAGTTCCAGAGGCTAGAAGGTCTATGAGCATGGTGCCAGCATCATCTTCCTGTGTCATAACTGTGGGAGAGGAAAACAAGGCAAATGTGTGTCAGATTTCAGATTCTCTCTTCTCTCCCCTTCCCCTTCCCCCTCCTCCTCCCTTTCTCCCTCCTTCCCCTCCTCCCCCTCCTCCTGTTCTTGTCCCCCCAGTCAGGGATGTCACTATATTGCCCTTGCTGCCCTTGAACTTGGTATTCCTGCCTTAATCTCCCAAGTAGCCCAATTTATAGGTGTGTATGTACCACCACACCTAGCTCTTCTAAAGCCACACACCTGCCCTGTCACAGGGCCCCACCCTTGGTGACTTTATCCAATCCCAGTTACCTCCCAAAGGCCCCACCTCCAAATACCATCAATATTTGAAATTAAGGATTAAGTTTCAACATGAATTTCAAAGGAGACATTCAAACCATGGTGTGATACCAGTGTAATATACATATAAATGGCATGGGGATGCAAGCTTAGATTAAATAGGTCTGGAGTAGGCCCTGAACTTCTGCTTTTCTAATAAGCTCATACTTTATGCTCTGATGCTGCTGGGCCATGGACCATGCTTTGAATAGCAAGATTGTAATCTAAGATTTAAAACTAAAAGGAATTTTCCTGGGGTCCAGAATTGTTTCTAGATATTAAAGACGGAATGACAGTCTCTTGGTGATATTTTTATAGCACTTAGAAAATAGCATGGTTTTGGGGTTGTAGCTTAGTAGCAGAATATTTTCTTAGCATACACAAGGTCCTGGGTTCCATTCCTAGCACTGGAGGCAGAGGAGGAAGAGAAAAGAAAAGAAGGAAGGAGGTAGAGGGAAGAGGAAGGTGGAGAAAGCATAGAAACATACATATTCTCCCGATTCTTTTTCTCGTGGAGTTGGCTTTGTAATGTTATTCATTGATACTTGACACACATGATATACATCATATATTCGTTACTATTCCCACATGGAAAAGGAACAGCACTATCAACACTTCTCTTCCCAAAATGCCCCCAAGGTATAGTAGAATTCCTGTCTAGCTGGCAATGCTTCATTTCACTATTTAGATAGTATTATCCAAAGAATGCCAGCTTGGTGAATATTTTTAAAACCTCAGTCATTTAAACCTATAGCAGTAAAACATGATCATCTTCATTAATGACTGTTCTTTTTCAATTCTGTATCTTTAAGGTAGGGGGTTTCCCGCTTATACACTTCCTTTTTCAAGCAACTGCTTTCATACCTTTGATGTTCCTTGACACTCAGGCCTTACTGAGTGTTAGTTTAGTAGTAAAGATATCTAAGGAAACTCGATCTTTTCTAAGCATATAACACACCCTCAGCTTTCCTCAGGCTGCCCTTTCAGGTGGGCCTGCCTATAAAGTCGAGACAACCTATCTAACAAAGGTGATTTTCTCTAGAATTAATCTTAAATTCCATTGAGTCATTTCAGTCTTACAGAGTTTTAGAAAATTTAGGAAAGCTGCTTGACTCATTGCTTAACCTAGTCCTCTCTAACAGTAAACCATGCCTTTTACCCCTCAATAGATACATGTACAGAAGTTAAAAGATAAGTAATAGAAATATTGCTCACCAGTGTGGAAACCTAACTAATCCCTCTCCTTCTGTATCGTGAAGCTTCTATGATTTTGCCAAGTCTAAAGATAATCCAAAGGGAAATTTAAACTCTTGTGGCATTCCAAAATACTTACTGTAGATCACAAAGAAAATCTGATTAAATATACATGGTTCATACATATAAAATACTTATATATGTATGTGTAAAAAATATATATGTATATATATATATATATATGGTTAATTACATGACTTATGGCTAACATATTACTTTTTTTGTTTTGTTTTGTTTTGTTTTGTACCAGGGATCAAAGTGGGATCTTGCACTTGAAAGGCAGGCTAAATCCCCGGCTCACTAACATGTTTCTTTGAGTCTCAGATCCAAGTAAATTTGCTAATCCTTGAAAAACTTCTTAAACTGGGCGTGGTGGCACATGCCTATAATCCCAGCACTCTTGGGAGGTTAAGGCAGGAGGATCGCTGTGAATTCCAGATCAGTCTCAACTACATAGTGAGACCCTGTCTCAAAAAAAACAAAACAAAACAAAACAAAAATTCTTAAGCAAATTTTAAAGCATAATTGCTGAAAAATTTTTTTCTAAAATTATAAGTTGAAATAAGGATGGAACAATAACAAATTTCGATGATCTTATAAACTTCTATTGTAACTACTAATGAAACAAAGAAAAGTCATATGCAGTCATTATGTTTAATGATGGTGTCTTTCAAAGTATAAGGTATTTTTTTCATTCTATTCCTACCAATGCCATTTATAACCTTTTTTTTAACCTGCACCAATTTAGTAATACTATCTATGGAGTAATCATCTGTGATTAATGACAGTACTGAAGATTCTTCCTTTTCTAAGTAAAGTGCACCTTCTCTCCAGTATCTCTAGCTGCTAGTCACCCAGATCATTTTTTGGAGCTCTAATAATTACCACAGGATGACCATCAATCCTTAGGACCTGACTTTTTCCCTGCTCAGACTAAGGGCCAGTTTGTTCACTTGGTCCTTAATACAGAAATGAGTCTGTGGAATATTTCACTGGCTGTGCTAGTAATTACCTATCTCAATCCTGGCTTTCCTATCTTCTTGGTAATGGCAACTGTGAATCACCTTTACATTCAGATATGTGGGATGATTACTTACTACATCAAAATGTTTTGTCTTCTTAACCAGTACTTGTCACTATTAGACATAACCTGTAGTATATTCATCTGATGGCCTCTTACCTGGCTTGAATTCTTGCTTAAAGTCAAGCAGCTTGAAAATCTAGTTTCAAAATAGATTTGTGATCCTGAATACCTGTATGACTCAGTCGTTTCTTCTAATAGAATGGGAATGAAGGCTCTGTCCTCAGTGAAATGAAACTAAAGATGGAATTTCAATTTAGGAGTGCTCTTTTGTTTGCTTTTGGTTCCTTGATTTTAGAGCAAACCTTTAAAATACTTTTCAAATCCATACATGTCCTAAGAATTAATATTAGAAGTTAACTATAGATGGTAAATTATGTATATTATGAATACTACATGACTGGAGGACAGCTGTCTGTTTTTGATATCTTTTACCCGTGTGGCTTAAAGGGTACAGAAGAAATACTCAATGCTAGATCTTGATTTTGTCTGTTTTCTACCTCAAGAATGTCAGTCTTTTTGTATCTTATTGAAATAGATTACAAAATTATTAAAAATTGCCAGATGTGGTGGTGCATGTCTGTAATCCCAGCACTTGGGTGGCTGAGGCAGGAGAATAGCTACAAGCTTGAAGCCAGGTTGGACTACAGAGTTCAAGGCCAGCCTGAACTATTTAGCAAGATCTTGTCTCAAAAAAAAAGAAAAGAAAAATAAAAAATCTTGATGTGGGCTAGAGAAGTAGCTCAGTGGCCAAGTATGTTGTTTAGCGTGACAAGGCTTCTTCTATCCAATACCCTGCACTGCCCCTGAAATCTTAATTTTGTTGATATTTTTTCAGATAGCTAATTTAAAATGTTGGTATTAAAAAGCACTATGCAATACTGTGGACAAATCAAAGTACATTCTAGGTATTTCCAATCTGTGTATTTTAGAAAACTATTTTAATACCTAAATTAGACTTCCAGAATTGGTGGGGTTGGGAATATAGTAATAGAAATTATTAGTAATTAGAATAAAGGCATCTGTTAATTATTATTCTTATATATTTCAGATTATATAAAAATAATTCTTTAGATATGTGTTCAAAATATGTTTCTGTTTAATTTAAATCCAGCGGTAACTGGGAACATAGATTTGTATCTCAGCCAGAGCAAAGCCTGAAGGCTTAAAGAATTTTTTTTCAATAAACATTTATATGTCCTCACTGTCTTTGGTAGTGATCAGCATGTGCTCCCTAAGTTAGTTTCTGTTTTTGGCATTCATTTGGTTAATGTGGATGAATACTATATAGAGAAGTAAGAGAAGGGAAAAAGGATGGAATTCTCTAGGCATATAGGGGTGTGCGTCAAGAATCTCAAAGATTCTAAAACAGATGTAGAGGGGTGGGAAAGCGCACATTTGAAGCCTTTCAACTGTGACATTCTCTTCTAATGAAGAACAGCTTGAAAGCTGTAATTTTGAGAGTGTTGCAGGATTTTAAAGTCAGACACTTAGCACATTTTTTAAAGTGCTGAAATTTAAATGTTTTTTCATCTTAAATGAAATTAAGCATTTTTGGTCATCATACTGTCTTGATATTTATGAGCCACAGAATGAACACTAGAGCTTTTAAAATTCAGATAGACCATGGCAGCAAATCTTCTTGTGCTTTATCTCCTTGTGTTCATGGCAAATGATGTTGTATTCTCTTTCTTTTAGACAGTCCATTTCCTATTTCTGCTTCTTCACAAATGACCTTGAACTATTTATTTTTATATTTTGCAGTACATTTTTATACCTGAAATTCCTGGTAGTGTGGGCACTTGTCCTCCTTGCAGATTTTGTCCTGGAGTTCAGATTTGAATACCTGTGGCCATTCTGGCTTTTCATCAGAAGCGTCTATGATTCCTTCAGATACCAGGGACTGGTATGTTTACTAATGCATGCTCTCCACTCACGCAAGCAATTTAGTTACCCTTCTAAGAAAATCTCCAATAATTGATAGTAACCTGTTTAAAGTAAATTTTATTAGCGATACTTAGGTGACTGTATTGGGATGAACTGTTAGGGTCTGTGGACTCAAATTGGCTATTTTGTCTGCCCGCTGATAAGGTTGTATTTTTTCCTGCTCTCCCATTCCAGCAGAAAGAAGGGGCTGGGTCACAGACATTAGTTGGGAGAGTTGAGATAATAGAAGAGAAAACAGTAATTGCCCAGTCCTACTCTGAAGTGCCTCTGGGATCCCTGTCACAATGTTAGTGATGAATTAGAGTTGAAGCAGCGTTTCTTAAACTTTAATCTCATGACCCGGCTGCACTCCCCTCACCCCCACCCCCAGTTCAGAGGATTGAACTCACGGCCTTCTCACTGAGCTATATCCCTAGCTCTTTATGTATTTTTAAAATTTTCATAGTCTTAGTAAATTGGTAAATTGCTCAGGCTGGGCTCCAACATTTAATTCTCCTGCCTCAGCCTCCCAGAGCGCTTTGATTACAGGTGTGTGCTACCACACCTGACTAGGCACTCTTAAAAATTTTTGAGAACTTCAAGGAGCTTTTGTTCATGTGGGTTACATTTATCTGTATTTTCTATGTTAGAAATTTAAACTGGAAAAATTAAAAATACTTTTTTATTGACCCACTGAATAATAGTAGAAAATCCTTTACAAAGTAATGCAAACTATATTTTTATTCTTTTTTCTTCCCCCATGGTAATGAGGATTAAACCCAGCACCTTTGTGCTGAGCTACCTCCTCAACCCTTTTTATTTTGAGATAGTCTCACTAAATTACATGCTGGGCTTGAACTTTCAATCTGCCTCAGCTTCTCAGAGGGCTGAGATTTCAGTTTTGCACCTCTATGCCCAACCAAATTACGTTTTTAAATGAAAAACAATTATATTTTCAAAAAATAGTATAGTGGCTCCATTTTTGCAATATCTTTATCTATCTCCCAATTTTTATCTTTATCTATCTCCAGTTTTGCAATATCTTTAATGCCTGGCTTAGTGGAAGGTGTATTTTTAATATCTGCTTCTGAAATGAGTGTTGCAACTCACTTGTTACTTCTAGAAACTTCTACCATACTTAAGAGTAAATTAGTGTGAGAAAGTTAGATAACCTGTTAGTATTTTTATGAAAGTAATTTTGGCCTCAAAGACCGTCTGAAAGTATCTCCAAGACATTCCAGAAATCTTTAGACTACATCTTTAGAACTGCTGGGTCAGAGTAAGGGAATAGGCCTGGGCTTGTTCATTTTTTATGTGTTACTTCTTTTGTGTCTGTAGCCACACCTTAAACTGCAACTCTTTAATGCAGGCCTGGTACTTCAGTTAGAGTAAATCCATGCTTAAAAAGATGGTTTCAAGCTCATATCCAGTTGTTAATAGATAGTGGTATTCAGAGGAGGACTGCTACAATTATTAACATCAGTGTATTTCTTATTACTATTACTGATATTCATCTGGCAAGCCTATCCTTTAATAATGAGGCTCTTTAGGAATTGTTTGGGAGGAGAAAGAAGGCTTTTCTGTTAAATTTCTTTTTCTTTCAGGTAATCCACCTGTAGAATAAATAAGCTCACTGTGGTTCAACTTCATTTTTTTCTGGTCCAGTTCTTCATGATTTAAGGACCATAAATAGTATTACTCATTACAACCTTGAATTGACCACTTCTTTTTATATGGTAGATTATAAATGTTTACAATTTCTTCATGTTAACTTGCTCAGTGTTCAGTAATTTTGTTCAATAAGCTTTTAACAACTCATGTTTGAAAATAATGAGTTCTAAAATGTGTTTCTTATTTTGTTTTTCCCTTAGGCCTTTTCAGTATTTTTTGTTTGTGTAGCGTTCACATCAAATATAATATGTCTGCTCTTCATTCCCATACAATGGCTTTTTTTTGCTGCTAGTACATATGTATGGGTTCAGTATGTATGGCACACAGGTAAGTCTTACTACTTTCTTAGATGGATAAAAGTCTTAAATTTTAAGTTTTTAAAATTGATTTCTTTGAATAAATTATTTATGATGTTTATGTAGATATTTAAAAATTGCCTTTTCCTAACAGATTGTAATATATTTTTACAAATGTTTCTCATTATTTGAATCAAAAGTCTGAGCCTTTATAATTTCATATCTCAAGCATAAGCATTTCAATTACCAATACTTGTGAAAAGACTTTTTTAAAAGTTGAAATTATTTTTGTTTAGGAATAGTTGAAGACAGCCATGATCCAAAATGGAACAATGTTCATAATTTTCATTATTGAAAAGAATGTCAGAGGTCATGTAGGTAAACCCAAATTGGTCACAAGAAACCCCACAGCAAGACCGGCATATGAAAGTTTTACCTCTGATTGAAAACCTGAAGTGACAAAGCAACTTACCTGCCATTCCTGGCACCATATTCCATTTGGGGGCTGCTGTAATAGAAAGTTCTTCATCGTATTGAGCCAAAAGTGTCTTCCTCATGTTTTTTTCTCTCTGTACAATATTTATTTATTTAAGCTGGGCATGGTGGCACATGCCTGTAATCCCAGCACTTGGGAGGCTGAGGCAAAAGGATCTCTGAGAATTCCAGACCAGCCTGGGCTACATAGTGAGTTCCAGGTCAGTCTCAACTACATAGTGAGGCCCTGTCTCAAAAAACAATCAAACAAGCAAACAAAAAGATTTATTTATTTTTGGTACTGGAAATAGAACTCGGGACTTTATGCTTGTGAAGCAGGCTGCAGCACCATTGAGCTAAATCCCCGGCCCACAAGATTTATTTCTTAATCACAGTATTTTAGAATGATTTTATATACCCTAATACAGAAGGAATGATTCAAAATCTACCAAGTGTTAAAGGTTAGAGCCAAAGTCAATGACTGCATATCCCATGTCAATTATTGTTTCATCCTCCTCATATATTTAGCCCAGTATGTCATAACTACTTTGGGGCCCACTGATTCTTAGAATTCCTTAAAAAGGCTTTCCCGAGAAAAATTTATGGAAATACATAAAACTTTGCCTTAAAACTAGGAACCTTCACGCTAGAGTCACTCTGAATGAGTATAATCTTCCTATCAGTTAACATTTTGCTAGAGGTCTGAAGAGCTTGTCATATTCTCTTCATTCTTTTCTATAGGCAGAAGTATCTGCTTTCATCAGCTTTTCTTTATATGGCATTTTAAGCACTCCCACCATCCTGGTCTCCTAGTTCTTAGTGGTTTTGTGTACTGTACTTCAGGTATGTTCTAACTAGAATATAGCTAGCTACACAGCTACCTCCTTTCTTCTTAGAGCTACACTGTTATTTCAAACCAAGATCAGATGAGGTATTTTGACAGCAACAGCCCACTGGGAAAATCTGAATGTGTGGCATGCACTGGGATTTGAGGATTGGCTTTCAGGGTCACACTTGTCTGCAAAGCTACATGAAATTTGATTCTTAGGCCCAGTTGAAACGTGTAGATTGTTGACCACTGAGAGTACACCAAAAAAATAAGAGCTCTCTGAAGCAACATTCACCCTCTTCTAAGATGTGACATATGTTTTAATTTGGAACAGCTAGGGCTGAAACAAAATAAAATAAAAATCTGTGTTCTTATTAAGCCTGACAAATATGAGTGCAACTTATATAATTTGGGGCTAATTTTTTTTCCAGTTAAAACTTCTTTCTTAATATCAGGAATGGTTGTTGAAATTAAATATTGCCACAAAAAGGGGTATTATAAAGTTTTTTCCTTGTGTTAAGAGGGACGAAAAGACTCCCAGATGCAAAATCAAATTTGTAACATGATTGTTCAAAAACGCTCTCATGTACTTTTATTTATTTAATAGTTATAGAAATATAGGTATTTTGCCTAATTTTTATAATGTACTTATTATCTTAGTAAATTAATATGGAAAGTAGGAAATTTACATTTTGAAGTGACTTTGAAAATGCGTTATCCTGCAGGCTGCTATTCTTTCAATATTGTGAAAATACCTAGTTTTGCTCTCTTAAATCCCTAAGAATGATTGAGATCATGAGCTGCCTTCACAGAGCTGTGTTGACTTTACTTGGGGGCTAAGCTTGAGGGGGGACTTGGGTTTTCTTTGTAGAAGACTCAGTACTATCTCTGTGAATTAAGACCCAATTTGCTTAAACTCTGGGCTTTACTGAAGTTAGGCTACGTGGTCTTTCTAATTTTTAAGATCCTATGAGTTTTCTTTAGTTTCATCCCAAAGGTTCCATTTAAGTTCACTGGTTTCCTTCCCATCAAACCTGTACATTCTATACTCATAAATTGTTCATTATTAATCATGTCATAACACAGATAGAGCTAGTCTCTAAATTTTGATTCTAAAAGCCAGTGAAAATTTTTCTGTAGTATCTGTACTTTCTCTGTTGCAAATTTTTTTTTTTTTTTTTTTGGTACCCCGGATCGAACTTGGGCCCTTGTGCTTGCAAGGCAGGTGGCGGCACCACTGAGCTAAATCCCTGGCCCTGCAAATTGCTTTTTCCTCCCTTGAAATTGTGTTTAATTACAAATGGAGTATGAGCTTGGGGTTATGAAAAAAATTTTCAAATAGTGCTTAAATGTCAGAAAAACATTTCTTTGTCCTACAACTTATTCTTTAAGAATTTTATTTTTAATACATCCTTTCATGACAGTAGAGATCTTCATTCTTTAGAAAATCTACAACATATTTCATTATGTAGATTTATCAAAATTAGCTCCTACAGGGATGGGCATTTAAATTATAAATTTTGTTACTGTAAATAATACTACACTGAATGTTTTTATACACACATCTCAAGATTCCTCTGTATTTCTTGTGGGATAAAGTCCAAAAGTGAAATTCCTGGGTTAAACATACAAGTATTTTAAACTCAATTATACTAATAATTATAATTAATAATTATATTATTGTTAAATATGAGAATAAACATTTCCCAATACCTTTTCTTCACATTTATCTTTAAAATTTTCCCCTAATAAGTTAAATAAAGAAAAAAAGAATCCAGTTGATATTGCCCTTATCAGTAGAGCTGAGCATTTTTTATTTTTATTTTTAAACCATCTGTATTTTTCCTTTTATGATTTGGAAATTTTCTTAATTTACTTGTGTTTGGTTTGGTTTTGGTGATGCTGAGAATCAAACCCAGGCCTTGCACATGCTAAGTGTGTGCCCTACCACGAAGCTACACTCTGGCTCCCCACTGGTGTCTTCCCTTATTTGGAGGCAGGAACCCTTGTGGCCCATACTTGCCTCTAGCTCTTGGTCTCGGCAGTCCTCTTCGCCCTTCCCTGTGCTGGGCTCGGTGGCAGTGCCCCTTCACTCAGCTTCATTTGCCTTTTTATTGATTTATAGGAGCTCTTTGTATGCCAGAACTACAAATCTTTTATTTCATGTATATTCTGAATATTTTCTGCCAGAATGTTTGCTTTTTATTTCTCACAGTGATTCTGTCAAATTGTTTGTTATATAAAAGCTTTCAGTTTGGGTTAAATTACTTTTTAGTTTAGTTGAAAGTCTTACAATGAAGGTTACTATAGTTTAACCAGTCTCCCAAACAACCCATCTGTTGTGTTACTTAATGTATCATTGATGCTTGTCTCCTTACTGCTTTTCTACAGAAAGGGGAGTGTGTTTGCCTACAGTGTCCCTCTGGATACTCTTTGTTTATATTGAAGCAGCAATTAGATTTAAAGATCTCAAAAATTTTCATGTAGACCTTTGTCGTCCCTTTGCTGCTCACTGGTAAGTATTTGTAATCTTTTTTGGTTTTTTTTGGTACTGGGGATCAAACTCGGGTCTTTGTGCTTGCAAGGCAGGTGGCAGAACCACTGAGCTAAATCCCCAGCCCTTGTAATCTTAATTTATAATTCATTCCAGTGTAGAATGGAAAAGTTCAACTGTGTAGTTTTTCTCAGAGATTGTACATGGGCCCCTGGAAGAAATACAGCATGGTGGTAAAGAGCACGACCCCTCTTTTCAGGCAGATGAGCGGTAGAATCCCAGCTCTTTCCCTTACATCTGTGTTACTGAGGGTGTCATTGTTTCTAACTTTCCACTTTCTGACCTGTCTACTGGGGTCATGGGAAAGAGGAAATGGGGTAATATACATAAAATGTTTAACTTAATGCCAAGCACTTAGGTGTCTGATGAATATTACTCATTTTTATTATAATCTGATAATGATTCCAAACCTCTTGATGAAATATAGCTATTTCATGAAACTTAAAAGAATTTAGGCTAAGGCCGGGTGTGGTGGCACAGGCCTGTAATCCCAGCACTTGGGAGGCTGAGGCAGGAGGATCACTGCAAGTTGAGACCAGCCTGGGCTACAGTGAGTTCCAGGCCAGTCTCAACTACATAGTGAGACCCTGTCTCAAAAAACCAAAAAAAAAAGAACTTAGGCTATGTATTTATGTATTTGAAGATAATAGTTATAGGAGCCTATTTATTTATAGGAGATAATATTTTTAATTTAAAAGAATATTATTTCTAACCGGGGATTTAGCTCAGCAGTTCGGTGGCCTGCCTTGCAAACGCAAGGACCTGAGTTCAATCCCCGGTACCAAAAAAAAAAAAAAAAAAAGAATATTATTTCTCCTCATGAAATATAAATATTGAATTTATTTAACCTCAGCCAGAAAAAATTTTGAAAATAAGCTTGATTTTATAAATATTATGAAAGTTGTTTAATGTATGTTTCTCCTAAACATACCAATTTTTGCTAATATTTAATGGCAAAAACCCAAGTAAACTAAAATCAACTAAAAAAAAAATACTGTTTCTGGTATTTTTAGTTTTTTCACAAGTGAACTAAATAAACCTGGTGAGTAAAACTTGTAACTTTAAATTTGTAATTATAAATTGTTAAGTTTTAATGTTAATGTAACTTAATGCAGGTTTGACAATGTTTGAAGAAGCGTTACAACAATATTAGGCTAATATGATGAGATAAATGAAACTATTTCAACCTTTATCCCAGAGATTAGAGTTGTAAGTACCCCTGGTTTAATTTGGTGGCACAATCCAAAAGTTAGCAGTGATATCAGATACTTATTAAGTGATTCTTGAATTTATGTATGATAGAGTGATTATGAACTAATTTCCCAGACATAACTGGTGACGTTAGCCCTCAGGCAGCAAGAAGATGAAAGTAGTCGCCTGAAATTGGCCCTGCCTTCTAGTATTAAAACCAAATAATGTCCTTTTGATTTTTTGACACTCAGAATGTTTACTTTTGGCCACCTGTAAAATCTCTACCTTTTAAATTTTTAAAACCATACCAATGTCTAAGTTCTGATGCACAGGGCAATCATTGTGTTACCTACTGTGTCTGTCAGTGTGGTGACTCCTTTAATTAAAGACACTGAAGTCTAATGGGAAGTGTTTTCCTATGGTCTAGTGATCCTATTCCTCCTCAGGGATTTGTTCTGCTTTCTACTGCAGACCAGGGATTTGTTTATTGAATGCTATCTTTAGCCGCTGTCATCCACTAGAACTTATTTCTTAATTCTAAGAAATTATTCCCTAATTTTAAGTCATAGGTATCCTCATGTGCTTGTTGCAGTGTTGTTTGCTTTAAAGCTTGCAATTACTGGTTGGATTGTCTTCTTTTTAGCATTGGGTACCCTGTGGTGACTTTGGGCTTTGGCTTCAAAAGTTATGTGAGCTACAAAATGCGATTAAGGAAGCAAAAGGAAGTGCAAAAGGAGAACGAATTTTATATGCAGCTTCTTCAACAGGCTCTACCTCCAGAGCAAAAGATGCTACAGAAGCAAGAAAAGGAGGCTGAGGAAGGTAGGTCTTTACCCTGAAGCTTTTGGCCTAATAGCCTGGTCATCATTTTGTCTCTTAGTAGAATTTTAGTTTTAGGAAAAACAGCTAGCATTTTAGATTTTCCTGGTTTTTGGTGTTCTTCATCAGGGTTATTTTTGTTTTGTTTTGTTTTTGGTCATGAAATACAGTGTGTAGTTTTTTTACCCACTCTCTGAAGGCAATATGCTTTAAAATATGTACATTACCTACTATAATGTACACTATGTTTTTAATTCTTTTATATTTTAATATTTTGTTTAAAAATTTAAAAATATTTATTCTGAGCAACAAAATAATTTGTGACTTAATTTGTAATTGAAGCAAACTAGGAACCAAAGTATAAGCAAGATAGAGATGTGGACATGTAGAATTAAGGTTTTTTTTTTTTTTTTTGGTACTGGGGTTCAAGCTCAAGCCCTTGCACTTGTGAAGCAGGCAGCAGCAGCACCAAGCTAAATCCCCGGCCCTAAAATTAAGTTTCATAAATCAAAAGTCTTCTAAATAGAGCAAAGACAGTTCCTATTCTAGTGTTTTATGTAATGTAATATGGATTTTTAATTTTCCAATTTCTAATGAAACCTCTGTTGTAGGCATTTAACTAAGAGATGGGTGCAATATTAGTTTTCTTGATTTGGGAGTTGGAAATTTGAGGTCATATTTTTGCTTAATATATGTCAAAATCTTTTTCATCTGTGTGGTACAAAAATATCTCTCAAGTGCCAGGCATGGTGGCACATTCCTGTAATCCCAGCACTCAGGAGGCTGAGGTAGGAGGATCTCCATGAGTTTGAGGCCAGCCTGGGTTACATAGTGAGATCCTGTCTCAAAAAAAAAAAAATTTTTTTTTTTCTCAAACCTTAACAAATTGTTAACGCGGAAACCCGATACAGAAATTCTTTCCCAAGTGACCTGGTAAATGATACAGACTTTTTTTTTTAACCTCAACACTATAGTCAAGAAAGAGGATGGATAGATGTCCTTACATCCTAAAATCACACCTCTTTTTTGTTTCATTTAACTTATTTTCAATAAAGTGACTAGCAGTTTGCTTAATCTTGGCACTTTTAAAAATATAGCCTTTTAGAATAATCTGCATTTGTCTTTTCACCCCCATGACAGAGAAGTTTGATTCAATGTATATGAAGTTGACTTAAGAATAAAATTCTAATCTTGTTTTAAGGCCAAACTTTTAATGGCTTAATTTTTGTAAGTAATGGTGACTTTCCAAATGTGCAGCTTCTCATATTTATTTGGATTTGTTTGTGAAGTTAGCATAATGTACTGTGGCTATGCTTCTAAATAAATTTGCACATTAATGTAGTAAATTTCTAAGCATAACTAATACAGTTTGTTGAATCAGTCTAGTCTATTTTTTTAAAAACTAAATATTCTGATATGGGTTTTTTATTTTTTGTTTGTTGGTTGGTTTGTTTCTGGTATTGCAGCAGCCAAAGGATTACCTGATATGGATTCCTCAATTCTTATACACCACAATGGAGGCATCCCAGCCAATAAAAAACTGTCCACAACTTTACCAGAGATAGAGTATCGAGAAAAAGGGAAAGAAAAGGACAAGGATGCCAAGAAACACAACCTTGGAATAAATAACAACAATATCCTACAACCTGTAGACTCTAAAATACAAGAAATTGAGTATATGGAAAACCATATCAATAGTAAAAGATTAAATAATGATCTTGTGGGAAGTACAGAAAATCTTTTGAAAGAGGACTCATGTACTGCTTCCTCAAAAAATTATAAAAATGCCAGTGGAGTTGTGAACTCCTCACCTCGAAGTCACAGCGCCACAAATGGGAGCATTCCTTCCTCATCTAGTAAAAATGAGAAGAAGCAGAAGTGCACCAGCAAGAGCCCAAGTGCACACAAGGACTTAATGGAGAACTGTATTCCTAATAACCAGCTAGGCAAACCAGATGCACTGGTAAGGTAAGTACGTGTGCTGTGTCCTGACCAACTCTTTCCAATAAACTTGATGCCCTCCTGAAAAGCAAACACTCCCCGGTGGGTCTGTAGGGATTGTTTGTGATCAGATACTGTGACTAGTGACATTTTGGTGTTTGTTTTACATGGATTTGTTGGTCACCTTGTATCAGTGTCTTTAAGTATTGACTAAACGTTCTGTGGGGTTCTGAATCAAAGGTGAGGGTGGTGATTTTCCACATTTGATAGATATGCATGTAACCTGATTCTTCGGATGGTGTTGGAAGGCTCTTTAGTCCTTGTCCTTTTATGTTTGCATAGTCAAAGTTCTTTTGGCAAAACTCCAGAAAAGAAGAGTCTGTGCCCTGTTTATGCAAATCTCTGTCAAATAGATCGAGGTGGGGGGAGCAGAGGCTTGAGAAAGTTGTCTTTATCACTTTGCCTCTTTTGTTTACTTTGTTTATTTTGTTTTTCTGTACTTAGAAAGTGAATTATCTCTAGATAGCTCAGGGATCCTTAGGTTTGAAGAGTAGTCTCTTTTGGGACCAGGACACAGCTCAGTGACACAGTGCTTGCCTGGCAAGCATGAGGTCCTGAGTTTAATCCCTGGTACCAAAAAAAAAAAGTAGCCTCTTTCAAAAAAACCTGATAGACATATACAATGTTAGATGTGGACTTTAATCTGAAATGTTCCTTTTATTTCTGGTTAAAAGAATAATGTATTATGCTACCTGGCTCAGACTTAATTTTGCTGTATTTGGACAATTTATGTTGGACAAGCATGAATATGTTGCTTTTACCTCAGATCTTTGACCAGGAAACCAAGATCTGAACCAGAGCTTTTCTCCTCACATGTAACTCAAGAGGGCAGTTGTAACTCACCCAGTCCAGTGAGTTATCTTCTATTCTACTTTCTTTTGCTTACTTAAAGACGAGGGGCAATTTATTTGAAAGTGTTTGTGTGGCCAGGGGTTGGGGTGGGGTGGGGTTGGTAGTTCAACATTATAAATTATATGAGTCAAATTGTTCATTTATTTTAACTTTCTCATTGGCAGCTGGATTAAAGGAGATGTATTGATGTTCTACTGCTGCAGGCACTAGAGGTTTCGCAGCTTCCACACTATGAAACATGCTGTTGGGCTGGGGATTTAGCTCAGTGGTTCCATTGCCTGCCTTGCAAGTGCAAAGTCCTGAGTTCAATCCCTTGTACAAAAAAAAAAAAAAAAAAAAAAAAAAAAAAATAAAAAAAAAAAAAAAAAAAAAAGAAAAGAAAAGAAAAAGAAACATGCTGTTGCTATTGCTGATGCTGGGTGGGCATCCACAGCTGTTGGTGATGACCTAACCACTCATGCTGGGCAGAGAAAACACAGCAGACAGCCCTGCTCCAGATGCCCATGGGAGAAACACCAATTAGTGAACCTTCTGTTTCAAAAGGAATTCCCCACAAATCCTCTAGGTGCTATAGATGAAACACTGCCACAAGCTATTTATTGTCCTTTCTCCCATGTGATTTTAATAATAGTAGTCAAGCCAAAGTAATCTTTCTATGTTGGTTGTTGCAGAGAGAGCAATCAAGGCTTAGTCTGTGGCACTGTCTCCCTTGCCACCCCAGTGTGATGTTGATGGACTCCACCACGTGATCTGCCTTTGAGGCAGATTGACAGCCCAGACAACCAGTTGTCCAGTAAACTGCAGCGTTGCTGTGGTTCGTGCCCCTTGCTCACTCCTGAGGAGTATGCCTCTTCTGTGGTCAGCAGCATACTCTGCCTTGACCTGCAGGGCCCCAGGGCATTACTCTGTTTTAGAGAACTACATTCTGTCTAATAAAGATAGAAAATGTTACATTTACATAGTTTTATAAACTTCCATGTTATTATTTTCAACTTTTAATGTAACATAAAAATAAAGGAATGAGCTAGTTGTGAATGGTGAGTGCCTTTAATCCCAGCATTCTGGAGACTGGAGCAGGAGAATCACAAGTTCAAGCTCAGTTTAGCAATTTGAGCAAGATACTGTCTCAAAAAAAATTTGGTTTTTTTTTTTTTTGTTTGTGTGTTTGTTTTTGAGACAGGGTCTCACTATGTAGTTAAGACTGACCTGGAAGTCGCTATGTAGCCCAGGCTGGTCTCGAACTCACAGTGATCCTCCTCTGCCTCAGCCTCCGGAGTGCTGGGATTACAGGCGTGTGCCAGCACGCCTGGCCTCAAAAAAAGTTTTTAAATGGACTGGTGATGTAGCTAAGTGTAAAGGCTTTGGATTTAATCCCCAGTATTGCAAATAAATAAACGAATGGATGGAAGACCTAAATATCCAATGATAGAGGAAATCTAAATGTAGTCCATTTGGGCCTCGCAAGCACAAGGACCTGAGTTCTATCCCCAGTACCAAAAAGTAAATAAAGAAGTCCATTCATTTAATAAACTTTGAATGCAGACATTGCAGAATCATTGAGCCACATTAAAGAATGTGGGAGACTATCCCCCCAGTGCTGAGGATCGAACTCAGGACCTTCTACTTGCCAGGCAGGCGCAGCACCACTGAGCTACATCCCTGGCCCCAAGTATTCATGATATAATGGTAGAAAGCTATTAAAAATGTTTTTTCCAGGGCCGGGGATGTAGCTCAGTGGTGCTGCTGCCTGCCTGGCAAGTAGAAGGTCCTGAGTTCAATCCCTGGTACCAAAAAAAGAAATAATAATATTTCCAATATACACAAAAAAGAGATTTGAAGGAAAAAGAACCAAAATATCAACAAAAATTTTGGTACAAAGTTACTACTGGGCATTTAGTTTTTCTTTTTATTTTCAGACATTTTCATATTTTTCCATGACTAGGAAAATGAAAGAATTGGAAAGGGAAGATAGTTTTCTGAGCAAATTATCCAGCTTAGTTGGTAGAGGCCCTATCTCACTTCTTCTCACTTTTGTCATTCCCCTCAATTTCCTTTTATTTGACTTCATACATGTTTTCAAGAATATTAAGACTGTCTGATCCACAGCTGCCATGTTTGGATTGTTAGCTAGAGAGTGGGTTTGTTATCTTCAGATGAAGAAGGCTGGAAAAAGTAGTGTCTGCGGTGCTTTTTAATGCAAACATACACAGTTGGCTGTGTCTGTGCGACCTTTATTTCCACAGGCGTAGTAAGGTTGTACACAGTTCTCAGCTGGCTATAATTTCCACAGGGGTGCCTTCTGTCCTTTTTCAAATATCTAAGAAAAAAATGGCAAACAATTACTACATTAATTTACTAATAATTTTCTTGCAGTAATGAATTAATTGTAACATATGTACAGCTGTCTATCTCAACGCCGTGGTTAAAATTACTTTTTGAGGAACCAGTTCAGCAACTTCTGGAGAGAAAGTTAATTACTAGTCTTTCAAGGAAAGTTCTTGTAGATATGTGTGGCCAACCAAATAAAATGTGACACATTCCCTATAAAGAGGTCAACAGTCCTGCCGGTCTTTTTCTCAAGCTCTCCCAGGCTTCATGGATATTTCCTAAAATGCTGTATACCATGGGTTTGCACAGGCCAAATCTGCCCCACTACCAGTTTTTGTAAATATAAATTTTGTTGAAGCACAGGTGCTCTCATTCACTTACATAATGTCTGTGGCTGCTTTTACGCTACAGTAGCAGAAACTATATGGCCTGGAAAGCCAAAAATATTTCTTCTCCATCCCTTTACAGAAAAAGTTATGCTGATGACTGATGTACAATAGTTGCTTCTTGTAAGGATCTTTTCCTCTTAATAGATTGTGAGTTCCAAAAGACAGAATCAGAATCTCTTCATATATACATCCTATGTAAAAGTAAAGTTTGTAGTGAATGATTGTTAGATGTATGAATAACATGGGGTGAAGAAATGAATGAATGGAGAATGCGCCGGTCTACCAGGAAATGTAGAGCAGAAGGTGCTGGATAAATTTCTAGGGTAAAAGAACACGGGGAACTTGGGAATAAGTGTTGCATGCGGGGTTCATCCCTGGAAAAGTTTGGGAACTTGGCAAAGCCGGGACAAAGTCCTCTTTTGGTTAGAGAACTACATATCTTACAAAATGATCCTGTTTCTTCCAGCTTGATTTATGAATATTTAAAAACAGACTTACAATGTTTATAGCCAAAATGTTTATTTCTAACATGAGAAATACTAGTCAAAACCAGAAAAAGCAATGAAAATAAATTATTTTAGCTAAGTGTACTGTATTAGAAAGTAGTAATATAAATTAGAATAAAGCTTATTTAAATTTTTTTCAATGGTCAGTTTAGGATTTAGCTCAGTGGTGCTGCCACTTGCCTTGCAAGCACAAGACTCTGAGTTAGATCTCTGGTACCAAAAAATAAAAAGGCTCCCCAGCACTGCCAAAAAAATTATGAAAAATTTTTAATAAAAAAGGGGAAACAGTCCCACCACCATGACACAAATTATTTAAAAATTGTGTTGTTTTTTCTTATCAGCTAATTCTAAAAGTTGTGGCCGTAGTGTTTATGCAACTTAAAAAAAATAGATTGTATTTTTTAGAGAGCTTTCTTTTTTTTTTTGGTACTGGGGATCAAACTCGGGTCCTTGTGCTTGTGAGGCAAGTGGCAGATAGCTATTAATTTCATAGAAAAACTTAGGGGAAGGTAGATATTTCCTGTCTGCCATCCCCTACATATGCCCGCCTTCCTCTCCATTATCAACATGTCAACATGTGTTACAGTAGCTGAGTCTGTAGCGACACATCATTATCGTACAAAGTGGATGGCTCACGTAGGATTTGCTCTTGGTGGGATACATTCTGTAGGCTTAGACAAGTTTATAATGACCATTCCCGTTATAGTCTATGGAGTGGTTTGCCCTAAAAATCCTTGATTATGCCTATTTGTTACTGTATTTCTACTAACTCAGGCAGTGATATTACTACAGTCTCCATTCCATAGTTTTTCCTTTTCCAGAATGTCATATGGTTGAAATCATATAGTAGATAGTCCTGTCAGACCATCTTTTACTCAGTAATATGCATTTA